CTCATTCCTCATGTATCAATATGGTTAGGTTCCAAAGACCAGGTCTTTATGCAAAAATCAGAATTATGCAAAAATGGATCACAAAAGAGAAAATGACTACACATTATTACAGAACTGCCAAATCATATCATTACATAACTGTCAAGAAACAGAAGTATGACCCAGTCAAGATGACACATACCCTTAACTGATCACAGCCAACGTTACTCTTGCCTAACACCTAGGCATTCATTACTGCCAGATGTACATCATTAATGAGCAGAATAGTCAATTAGATTTTTTACTATTGTTGTAAATGCAAAATGTCAGAAAACATATAGCTGATAAGTGAGAAGTAGGTGTAGTGAACTTTTAAGATTGTGCACAAAGATGACATTTATTTGTTCAGCAAATTTGAATAACGAAAATCTCCTGAAATGGATTTGTCTCTTGATTGAAGATGCCTTGTATAAAAATGGATTACTGGTTTTACTCTAGGGAGATGCACCCCTTAGATCAATCAGCCAGTAATTATCAGAGGGGCAGCATTCACATAGAGGGTAAGGTGGACAAACAGAAATGCATAGATAATAAGGGCAGAGGGAAGGAGTAGTCACAGGGAAAAGGGCAGAGGACAGTTTTTATGGTTGGGAATAGTAATGAGGCCATGAAATCAAACGTACGTGAACTGTTGAACATAAAACAAGTCTGCTTTCTAACTTTGCACTTAAAGTGCAATTAAGAAAGAAAGAAAATAAAAAACATGCCTTGTGTAAAAAACAAGGAAGAGGATGACAAATCTGGGTGTTAGAATAGTATGGAATATTGGGAGTAAACATATGAGGACATAGCAATAGCTCTTCCTCAGAAAATGAATTAAATACAGGTTCAAATCAACATCATTGACAAGAAAGACCACGTGACAAGAGCTATCTCAAAGAGTGATCCAGAGAGAAAAGGAAAACAAAAGAGAGACATGAACATTTTTTAGCAATGAAAGCTGGAATTTCTGCTTATAATCCACAGCCACCTGGATTTAATGTGGTTTTGGATCATAACAGAAGTTATTTGCCTTTAAGACCTCTTGGAAGGCAGAGGCCAAGTAGTACCCTCACCTTTTAGAGTACATATGAAGTTCTGAGAATCTGCCCACTTATGACCAAGAATCCACTGCTCTGGAGACTGTGGCAGCCTCAATGTGTCCATTTCCTCTTCCTCTTAACTGTGTACAAGGAAAAGTTCACAGGCCCTGACAAACAGCAATGGAACTTCTAATGAAGTCTTTTGGTTGATGATTTGCAGCATTTACCAGCCAAGCCACTTCATCCAAAGGGGTACTTTGGTGACTATTCACCGTGCAAACTGCTTTTCTGTTCTCTCAGAGTGAATAACCCTCTGAAAGAAATGTGATAGAATTTAAGAGCCTAGTGAAAGATCTCATCTTACATCATTTCCTGGGCTTTTATTTAATTAGCAAGACAGAGCCTATTTATAAACAAAGACTTTGAAATACAGGCCTTGGGGGACCCATTTCACAACAAAGAATGCAAATATAAAGAGGTAGTTCGGTCAGCATATTTCACACAAAAAGGCAAAGACTGGGTTAAAAGAACAGTTGGATTGAAAAAGTGACACAGTCCCACTACTCAGGGTCCACCAAAGCAGCCGTGAGAGACACTTGGCACTGTGTCTTCTGCTCAAGGCGTACTTGCTGCTGTTTTTCACAGGAGTCTCATATGGCCTCTTTGGAAAGCAACAAATTGAAAGTTAAGGAAGTTGCTATCCAAAATTCCCAGCCCCTTATCTTGGCCCTGCCATGTTTTAGTTCTGGATTTTGGGTAAATCATCTAGTTCCTTTGAGCCTCAATTTCTTTATCTCCATACATGACATTATCATCATCTTCTTCAGAACTAATACTTAATGAGCACCTACATATCCCAGGCATAATGCTAAGTGACTTACATGCAATACATGAAATCTTTACAAGAACTAAGTGCTACTGTCTGCATTTTACAAATGAGGCAACTGAGACACAGAGAGTTTAAATAACTATTCCATTGTCACACAGGTCATAAGGGTCAGAGGTGGGGCACAAATCGTGTTCTGATTATGCAACCTTAGATGCCCAAAAGATATGCTTAGTATATGTCCTATTCATAAAAGAAGCATAGTAATGCAAAAAGCATAGGCTGTGGTAAGAAGCAAATGAAATAATATATGTGAAAGCATCTTGTACATGGCAAAGTGTCTGTGGCATACTTGTCTGATTGTCCATCAAGAATTCATGTTTTTCTTCTCTAATGGAGTGATATTGCTGGGGAGTAGCTGCCAGCCAGAAACTTTCCCAGGTTCTTTTTCATCTAGGTGAGATCATGTGACAGTTCTGGCCAACGGAATGTTGATGGGTATGTACACGTGTTCATTAAAACGTCCAGTGTGGACTTCCATTTCTGGTTTCCCTGTCTACCTTTTTGAAAAGATGCCTGGGAGGCATCTTTTGAAGATGGCAGTGATTCCTTCAGCCAGGATATCTGAAAAAATGAGGGCACGTCATCCTTACCCACTTACCCTTTCAGACTTTATGAGACTGAAAAAGAATGTTCAATAATATTAAGCTAGTGACTTTTCAGCATTTATCTATTACAGGAGCTAACACTATTTTAACTAACACATTAGATTCTAGATATTGTGCAGCTTCTAAAATGGCTCCCAAATGATCCCCACCTCCTGTTATTCATGCTCTTATGTGATCCTCTCCCTTTGAATATAGTACTAGGTCCAGTAATTTGCTTCTAATGACTACAACAGGGGCAAAAGTGATGGAATGTCACTTCTGAGATTAGGTTACAAACTGGTGACTTCTGTCTTGCTTAAATTCTGATTCTTTTTTTATTCTAGTGAAACAAGCTGCCATGTTGTGACCTTCCCTACAAAGCAGCCCATGATAGTGGTCTCTGGCCAACAGTCAATGAGGAACTGAAGCTCTCAGTCCAACAAGCTGTAAGGAACTCTATTCTACCAACAACAAGGTCAGTGTGAAAATCCCTCCCCAGTTAAGCCTTGGGATGACTGTAGCCCTGACTGACATCTTGATTTTAACCTTGTAAGAGACCCTGAGCAGAGGACACAGCTAAGTCACACTCAGATTCCTGACCCACAGAATGTGTGAGATTATAAACATTTCTTCTGTTAAGCTACTGACTTGGGGGATAATCTGTTACTATGTAATAGATAACTAACACCAGTGCAAAGATTTATTATCTCATTAATATATACTTAGTGTGTATTTTGATTCATCTGGTGAAGTTTTAGTCAAAGTGTCAGTGGATGAAAAGTAGGACAGGGCCTTATTAGACTGTGGCAGGTGTTAAATACCAGGGTAAACAATTTAGACATTCATCTGTAGGTATGTATTTTATGGACTAATAACATAGCATGAAGCAAAAGATCTTACTGACATAAAAATGAATCAGTCTTTGGATCAGAAAGAAGGTGAATAAAAGATAAACATGTAAATTTCTTTCTTCTTAAACAGAGACATGGGTTAGAATATTCACATTGTATACACTGTAAGGATGTCTGGGTGTGTAATAGAGCTGACAATGACTGATCTCCAATCTGTCAGGGAAGAAATATAAGATATAAGACTCTTCTCTCTCTTCCCTTCCTCTTCAGAGCATCCTCCAATCTAAAAGACACTCCCAAGACCTCCATGCATCACCCCAAGAAGAAGATTCATCATCATTGGATGCTGCCTTTCCTCTGAGTCCTGCTCCTGGCACGGATATTAGGCGTATCAACTTCTGTTTAACTCCTCTGGTACAGGATATAGCAGCAGCAGGAGCAGCAGCAGCAGGAGTAATGACAGTAGTAGTAGTAGTGATAATATTAATAAACAGTAATGACAGCTGTCACATATCATGTGTCATACATTGTTCCAGGGTTCTGAGTAAGCTCATTTGTTCCTCAGTAGCATTTCCAAGATACCTATTATTATTATTCTCATTTTACAGATGAAGAAACTGAGGCACAGATAGGTTCAAAACCTTGTCTAAAGCCTGGGTAGCATGACTAGTAATAGCTAGGAAGTAGGAGGATGAGGATTCCACTGATTTCTCACTTTGAATAATTTCTGAAACTAATGCTTGAAACATGCATTCTGCATCTTATGATTTTATAGCTAGATGTCACAATAATAATAATACAATAAAAAAATCTCAATGTTTTTGTGGATTTACAACGTTCTCACATGTTACTTCATTTGACCCTCATATTGGCCTGGTGAGTTAGGTGTTTGTAAATGAGCTGTAGTTTTTTGGCCAAGTGCACCAAACTTCAGTGACTAGAAAGGTTCAGACTCAAATCCTCTGTTCTGTCCATTGTATTTTGGCTCCCTGATAACTCTTGATTGATTGGCATTTTACAATTTGTAGCACTTTCCATTGCATGAGATCATCTGAACCCCAGGGCAACCATCAGTATTAGAAGCTATTTAAAAGGAAGGTTTAGGCATAACTAGGGTGTCTATGCTTTCCAACTTCGCCTTCTGGCCAAATCTATGCTATTCATTGTCCTCTGTTCTAAGAGGGACCACAGGATGTTTTTTGTCCTGAGGCAGACAATAATTATACCTCATCCAAGAGTGGTCCATCTATTCATGGCACAAAATAGACAATGGTCATTAGCTTGTGCAATAAGATTTGCTCTCTGGA